CACAAATGGGTCTAAATTCGACATCCATGTTCAGGTAAAGTTTCGTTTTCGACATTTTGTTTCCCAATAACAATAGCATAACTGTAATCGATGAGTTACAAGTAGGCAATATACTGTCAGCCGGAATTAAGCAGCGTCGATTATGTCCATGTCTTTTGTTCCTCATTGGTATAAACACAAGATTAACTACGAAACAAGACTTCATGACGCATTTAGACTGGTTAAATTTAACGCAGATAATTTACAAGTCCATATGAATTGTTACTCGGATAACTAGGCTTTATTAAGAGCTGCCTAAAACAAAAACAGGACTAACAGGTTCTGCAAAGCGGAACTTTGAGCTATGAAAGGTAATACTGCATTTTCAACCCATTGAGTTGGGTGGGAGTATAAATTGACACTGTAGGGAACAGACACGGGTCAGTTGACAAGTAAGTAAATAAATATTTATTTATTACGAAATGTATAATCGGGTTTTTTATGGCATTAACCGGTAAACGAGCAGACGGATCACCTGATGGTAAGCAATCGGTGTCGCGCATGGACATCTGGAACACCAGAGGCGTTACAAGTGCGTTACCGGCTTTTTGGGGATTAGGAGTTTGAGAATAGTTAGGGATTCAGGAATTGGGGAGATTGGGTAATTGGGCCTCCGGTAAAATCACTCACACGACGAAACACAATGAAAGCGTTGCTTCACGTCGGTTTTCTGTGAGGCCGTGGTATCACTCCAGTCGAGCTGGCCCTTTCGTGCTGAAGCATGGCTCTCCCACACTTTTATTTTCTTTTTCGGTTAATAAAAAATATGGCTGGTGGGTATTACATTGTATATATCCAAATGTGCACTTTTTCCTACCGTTTTGGGGCCTTAAAAGACGTGCAGTTATAAACACGTTGCGATGAATACACACAGCTGTCCTTGTGTATTTTTAAAAGGTTTCTGTTCTGAATCGTTCAATACTAGCAATCGGTGTTCCATAATCTCTGCCTACCTCCATGGGAGACAGGCGTTAGGTTAATATATAGGTATAATCTGAATCGAACAATACGATATAACATAAACACATATAAAAAGTTACAAGTGCTGATTTAAGCTATATCCTCACTTTATTACCTCTTTGTAAAAACCATGTCACTCGAACTTAATGTCTACGTGAAGTCCCGATAATTGAAGACCTTACATAGCGACCGTACATTTCTTACACTAAAAACTAATTGACTTACTCTGTCTATGGTTGAATATTTGAATCCTCTTCAATTACGATGTTATATCGCATATGTATCGTTACGAGGCTTTCGTATTTTAAGTACAGTGTGTATTTTTTTAAAGGGGGAAAGTCATCGAATTTCTGCCCCCGCCTGGGTGAGGCGGAGGGAGTGTCAGATTCTTACTGACTAAAGACTACCCCGTTCCTTCTCCTGCGGTTCGAGCCGGAGCCCCGGTAACCCATTAGGTTCTCCGCGACAAGTGCAGTGTGTATAGGATTACAAGTTAAGTCGACTTATCCTTTAAAGCATTATAGTAGACGTCCTATCTATACCACACAAAATTTAAAACTAAAAAAACGGAATTATATTTAACCTTTACCCAGTACAGCACATGTCATACGCTTCATGTGCGAAGACGCATAACAAGTTAGTGACAATAAACTGAAGGATCAAGGAGAATCATTACTCAATTCAGATTGAAATAAAGACTTCATGCTAGAACAGTATTAAAAATAGACCAAGAATAATAAAATGACTTTGAAAACTTTTTGAATAGGCACACAATTACAAGGTATTAAGTGCATTTTCGAGTGAAGCGAATTGATGTACTGGTTTTGCCTTGCGTTTAACATTTCAATGTAAGAGGATCTCGATTGCAACGTTAATTTGTCTCAAGAATCAAGAATAAATAAATGAACTATCTATAGATGATCGTTATTTGTCTCCAACATACTGGTACAAAATACAGGTACTTTTTGTTTCTTTAAGAAGAAGTAACGGCGGATTTGCATGGCCTATATTTCGCCTAATCGGTAGCTTTGGTTTTCGCTAAGTTTTAAGTTCGCTAAGTTTAAGTGTGGGAGCCATCGCACACACTTAAAACTGACTTATAACTGCTTCGGCATGAATGGGCCGGCTCGATCGGAGTGATACCACGGACTCACAGAAAACCGACATGAAACAACGCTTGCTTTGTGTGTGCCCAAATACCCCCATCCCCAATATCCTTAATCCCTGAATCTCCAACAATACTTAAATCCCTAATCCCTAAAGGCGATAAGGTAACGCACTTATATCGCCTATGGTATTTCAGCTGTCCAAGGGCGGCGTCGATTGTTTACCATCAGATGATCCGTCGTTTTCTGCTCGTTTATCGTCTTATCCCATAAAAAAGTTAGGTACATAATACTTTTTTGACTTAATCTGCACGCATATTTTGTTTAACATTCTAGAAACAAAAACACAATGTTATGCTGCTAATCTATTTTCGTATATATAACTTTAAAAGCGAAATATGAATGGAATGAACCAACAACATTACTGTACCTAAGTTAAGCTCACATATATTTTTACAACAGGTATTAAAGAACTGCACTTATTTATTATGTGCCACAATTGGTGTCTCAGCCTTGTAACTGTTGTAATTGAATCATATGACACACACAGCTGACTGTTATAGAACGATATGAGTAACATAGAAATCTGCTGATATAATTAATTTCAATTTTTTGTAGAGGTATAAAGCTCATACTTGAATTTAAACTTGTTGACACGTGTGATTGTAATTTGAAACTAATAGTACATAGTAGATAGTTACTTTAAAAATTATAGGTTTTATTAATTGTACTGTTGGAAATCTTCATCTTTGAAGGTAGAAGAAAATTTAGTTTGGTAAAAAGGCGATGTCGATGTCGAGTGCATAACCGCGCTCTTTTGCGTTCGAGATTCGTCAGACCGGCAATACGTTTATCCTGGCAACCGATATTTCTTTGTTAGTTTGTTAATTTGAGGTTAAATAACTTTGTCACAATTGTCTAGTCGTTCTAAGTACATTTTTCTTAAAGTTTGTCATTGTATTTTTCTTCTTCAAACATAAGTTTCCACCCGTTTTGTAATAGTACTTATTTAAGCTACATCGCTTGACGTGGTTGCTAGGGTATCAGAAATGATTTTTCAGAGTTGTTAGTAGTAGAGCAGAATCTGGAATTGTGTCTGGTGTATGACAATAACCTATTATAACTTCTTTTTTCTTCTCTTATATATTCTGATTCACGTCGTTGCGGGAACCAAGACAATTATTCATGTCCCTGAGACGCGCCGGACTTCAGTGTTCCGGTGTTTTCATGGTTGTATCTACTGTTGATTCTGACTTACAGCAGTTGCAGCGGTTTTGGGAGATTGTGGCGGACTTATCCCAAAAAAAAACCTATTAAATATGATGACATAACTGAAGTAAATACTGCATTGTATATACGCGCTTTTACCAAAGTCTTCATGGGTTAAAAGAGATGACGTCATGCTGTGTATGTAGTAGTGTAAACAAATGTTGGTTGCTTTTGACAAATAAATAAGAATGTTTGAGAAATCTGAAACTTAGGGATTCATTACAAAACTCAACGTTAAGCAGACAGACTAAACAAAAATAAGAACACATTTCTTGTAACAGCGAAAATACTTTTTCTTATAATTAGTTCCTACGTGATAATTATACGTATTTTTGTTTCGCACCTAATTATAGAACCGTTCACTGTTTAGGAATGCTACGTCACAACAGATTTGATTGTTATTTTGTTCTTGGAAATTAAGAACACAAGTCTATCCTCCAATGTATAAATAGATTATTGTAGATACCTGCTACCTAGATATTATATTTGTACGACCCTTGATTTTTTCTGGATTGAAAATAGTGCTTGCTCAACAAGCATACTTCTGCCTAATTTATTAAAGAACATAATCAATGTACCCCTTTACAGTCTTTGTAAATATTCGAATATTTGGTCACTATAACGTACCTAAGAATTATGTACTAAAACCTACAACACCGCCTCTGGCTATGAACCATATCACTTAGAAAATATTAAGACCATTTATTAACGTGGTAAGTGGGTTTCAAGTAAACTGATAGCGATTATGTGTTGATACGTTGTGCCGGTTTTATAGCAACAGGTGCAAATGCTGTAAATAAATAATTAACACAGACTTATCTCAGTATGAAGTTGTAGGTACAGTTGGCGACACATCGAGTTGTGTAGAACCAGTTTATCATCGTCTTACTTTATACGATGTTTCCACACGTTCAATGGTCAGTTTATACTGGTTTTGCATAGCTTCATGTGTTACCATGTCTAATCGTGTGTTCTCTTGTTACCTAGACTTTCTGACATGTGTAACTTGTTCTGTAGTTCACTATTTATGCAAATATAAACAGAATTTAAATTGCAAAGTGCACTGAATTAGCAGTAAAAAGGAATAAGTGTTACTTTTTATTATTTATAGTGCAGTTCCTATAAAAGATTGCACAAATTTTTAAGGATAATATTTATACAATTTTCTATTTAACATTGAAAGTAATATTAGTACTTCTATAAGTTTCTAAGTTTCAAAGTACGTTTCAATCGAATGAAGGTTTTAGAGGGATTCCTGTTTCCACAAACATGTCGTTAGTTTGTACATTGTGAGAAAGTCAGTAGGCGTAGCATAACATATTAAACTATGTACTAAAGTTCCCTTTTTGAAGAATAATTCTAGTAAAGATTCTATTTGAGAAAACTGAATTCAGTAACACTGTCTACAGTGACGAAGCTGGTATAGAAATTTCGAGTCTTTCTGATCATGAACGAACTGCCGACTTTCAAACAATGCATTGACTTGACTATATATGTATTTATACTATTTGCGTAAGTTTCACACTAATCGGATATTTTTTCTTATTAGTCTTATCATTTTCAACTGTTGTTAGCGTATTTAGTTGGTAAAACTCAAGCGCTGGTCGAAGAAAATAAAATACAAAATATGTATAAATTTGTATATCAACAAAATACATAATCGATATAACTAGGAAGCATTATATTATAATCTGAGCAAGTCACTAGGCAATGATATCACCAAATTCGTTTATAGAATGTATGGGGCTGATAGGTATCTGGCGAAGTAGGGTGACGCTGGTGCGACGAAGGGAGCGGCGGGGGCGGCGACTAGAGGAGCAGCAGCAGGGGCAGCTACGTAGGGGGCAGCGGCGGGGGCAGCGACGTAGGGGGCGGCAGCGACGTAAGGGGATGTGACGACTGGGGCAGCCACGGCGTGGTTCACGGCATGAGCCGAGTAAGAGCTGGCGTAAGGAGCCACAACCGCAGCAGAAGCTACTGGCGCGACCAACGCAGCCGGGGCGATAGCTCCAGCATTCGCAGCGGCCACAGCGAGGGCGAATACAACCTGCACAAACAATCCACCAAGTTATACCACAATCCTAATGTTACCGCAAAGGTGACATGAATTCAAAATGAATAATTAAATGCAATTGTGATTCGACTTTCTATCGATGAAGTCAAGTACAATTCAATCCACATTCTGAGGATTTCTGCTAATATTTGAATTTCTAACGACATATTGAATTGGGTAACTTAACAATTTGAATACTGTTTTTGGAGATTGTGACCTATTTTCTTGTACAGATTAACATGGTAAACCATGTGACTTGCTTACATTTATAAAATCATCATGGTTAGCAATGTGACTTGAGTTATATTTGCACATATTCATTTGACTTATTTAATATTACGTTATCTAACTTGAAAGGTTTTACTTGTTTTGCACAGGTTTTATAAACAATCCTCGTACTGGGAAACGGGTCTGATGTTTTTCAAGGCACTAAATTCATGAACCAAAGAAGTTTCAAAGAAAACACTCACAACGAATTTGGCGATCATTTTGCTTGGGTGGTGTGACTGCTCACAAGTGATTACACTGAAAAATCCGATGGACTGTGCCGTCTCCAGGGCATCGTCACGTTTTATACCACTACTGATTTCGTTGAGCAATACTGTGGACGAACAACGCATGTGTGGCTAAATAATGCGTAGGACATCGTTGCTGGCTCGCGGTTGATTTTTGACCCAGACTCGGTCGACGGTCCGAGCATTCTAATTTGAACTCTGTGCACACCAATTTCACTGTTCGTTATATAACAGTCAAAAGGGAAATTCACTGGAACAATAAGTGCACATTTTTGTTTTACATGAAGTTGTTTGTAAGGCGAGACCTAAGTTGTTACCTGCTGTTTAGAAGTAGGTCAGGGTGGCTTAGATGCTTAGATTGTGGCGTTGTGCAGTCTTTCTGTACGATGGCGTGGTTTTGCAATACAAAATTGACGACTTTCTTACGATGGAGATAAACAAATGCATGTTTTTGTTTTCAGGAGATAAGTATAATCTTAAAAAGGTTAACTACAGTCCTTCTTTTGTTATTTATTTCCATTCTTCTGTTTCCTTTACGTCAAGTTTTATTTCAGTAATCGCCCAGCATCTGCACTAACTGAACATGCATTGTCTTTATGTATATCTTTGTTGTAATTCTATATATTTGTATAAACAATAATTTCCTCAATCATTCGAACAGCTACTGCTATGGGTCATGTAATCCTAATCTGTGTCTAGCATATCAATTACCAACCCATGTGTGTGATGGTAGCTAGAAGTAAATTACACACCATATCGTAAACGCAATGACTGACTCATTGGTTCTAAGGAAAACAGTTCACTTATCATAAAAATACGGTTTTTGTAGATATACGTGCTAAAATCTTTTTTTTGGTTAGAAGGTATTTTGAATGCCGTTTGGACTTTTAATGGTCGTTCCATTTGCATTGAATCAACAAAGGATTGTTAGTTCACACTCGTACATGTCTTGCTGCAGAAATTGCACGCAAAGAAAAAAGTTTCACAACGGAATGTTTCCCAATGTGCTCCATTTCTCCGCGCACGCCTCCGCGAATCCCAATTGACCGGCCGCAATACGTCAAATGTTTATTTTGTCGGACGATATCTGAATCACAATTTACAAGGTATAAAAAGCCAATACTTTTTCTTGATAGTCACATTTCACATTCTCTTTTCGTTAAGGAAGGTCCACTAAAAATCACGCAAGATGTTCTCTTTCAAATCTGTAAGTATAACTAATTACTAAATTTTCTTTTTTTCATAACAACATAGACATTCATAACTGATTCAAATAAATTTCCTATCGCAGATCGTATTGATCGCTGCGGCTTTCACCATTTTTATTTTATTACTATTGTATTAGTTTGATATTTATTAGTTAGTATTGAACCAAGAATCGATGACAGGACTATATAGTTAAATAAATCAAAGTATATTTATATTTGCATAATTTATTTACAAAATTTGGTATCAAAAACCTATAACTAAGTTTTAACTAGATAACAATGACACTATAACACTTAGATAAGACTAGATTCATTTCCACGCAAACTGTTTGAGGATTGGTGCAGGGCCGTATGGTACGGGACCATAGGGAGATATACTGATTGGTGCCCTAGCTACGGGTACGGGTGCGGGGGCGAAAGCTGACGCGTACAATGGGGCGGGCTGGGGTACAGCCACAGGCCTTACAATAGGTGAGAATGCTGCTGCTTGTAACGCAGGTACGGCACGAGCGAAAACTGGTGCTGGAGCTATTCTTGGGTACACTGGCGCTGGGAATATAGGTGTAGGTGCGGGGAATACCGGGGCTGGTGCCGGTAATACGGGAGCTGGTGCTGCGAAGACTGGAGCTGGGGGTGGGAGCACTGGGGCGGGCGCTCCGAATACTGGAGCTGGCGCTGGTAGCACTGGAGCCGGCGCTGCGAATACCGGAGCAGGCGCGGGGAAAATTGGAGCAGGCGCAGAAAAAACTGGAGCAGGTGCTGGGAACACTGGAGCAGGCGCAGGAGCTGCGAACACTGGAGCCCGCGCCACCACTGGAGGAGCTACTGCCACCGGAGCGGCCACTGCATGTATTGACCTCGCACCGTTCGGGAAGTTGTAAAATGGAGCGTACCGGACTACTGATAATGATTTGAAGAGAGGAGCGATGTGTCCGACGCCACTAGCATTACAGCTAGCTATAAGGGCGAGGGCAGAAATGATCTGTAAGGAAATTAACAAAAATTAGTAAATTAACTCAAGTAATTTAAGAAATTTGAAGATATTGCCAATGAATCAACACTTACTAATCTTACGAAGGACATTTTAATTTGATAATAGAACTCGGTCAGTCGAGTGTCAACGATGAAGTGTATCGATGAATGTGTTACTTGTCGTTATATAGTTCATACTGTTGCAAGCATTACGTCTATGTTGGTAGCAGTCGGTTTCACTTTCCTTAGGCAGGACTCGCGCATGCTCAATTAGGTGACGAATGGACACCATCGGTTACCGAATATGTCGAGGCAGTAGCCTTTAGTAGGAATATTATATAACTGCAACTATTTGACGGACGCTTAAGTGCCCTTTCGGGCCAAATGTTGGGATTATTTTAATTACATTTGGCCTTGTGGTGCAAAATTTGCAGAATATTTAATTAGGTCTCAGATTCGTGTTTTAAGTTTATTATGACATTTTTGACTTGGAATAAGTGCAAGTTTGATTCACGGAACTTCAGGTAATATAGTGCGTAACTCTAAGGAAATGCCTGACTTGCATGATAAATATTACTTTAATAATATAATTAAATTAACCAAGTAATATGCATAAAAGACATTTTGAATTCAAAGTAATCATTAAGAAAGACAACAATCGCTTAGACATTATTTATGAAGCAAACACGACATGAAATAACTGTACATTTTATAGTAACGAGACAATTTGCATTAATACGCATAAATAATAGATTTTCTTACGACTAGTAGATTTATCAATATCGGTGACACTTATTGACGGTAGATCACATACCGATGGTAACTATAACTATTATACCTATGTTTTACAAAATAATATATGTTGAATAGCAGTAAATTGATCAGATAGTGTGATTTCGGCGGCACGCTTTTCGTAAAAACGTACATTCGTTGTTGTGAGTTTTGTTCTAGTAAAATTACAATTTATTTATTTAGATAATTTACATATCTAACACTACAGCTAGGCTAGACTACAATGCCATGTTATTCGAAGTTTTGTAAAATTAAAACCCGTGATATTGTTGATCATTACTGGAAACAGTATAATGTATTGCTCTTTGGCGCCAGTATAACGGATGAAGCAAACGCTCCGTTTCGCTTCTTATAACTTCAAGAAAGTATTATGATGTTTTTATACTTCCAGGAAAATTTGACAGTAGCAATTTCGTTTATTTTACAGTGAACGTTAAAACTCTTCTCGTTTCTTAGAAAATATTACCCTATTGATTAGAATGAATTTATCTTTATGTTTTACCTTGGATTTCCATGCCCTGAGCAATAAAATAATTTCGTACGAAATTTCAATTTCAAAAATGCGGTACTCAAACGATATTATTTCAATTCTATAACTCCTGTATAATTAAGTAGATCGTGCTAACAAGGTACAAAACTTACAATATTTAATTTTCATAAATTTAAGATACGGGCTTTTCCTTTATTATTTGTCCATAAAATAGAATGTTAATCACCAGTAATGTTTGCCAGTCAATATATCACTGTTAGATCAAGAATTGTAAGAAATACTAAATATCAGTTTTTGTACTAATGGATACTGATAGCTTGCGTTAGCGGGAAGTCTTACTGGAATTCCAGACAGTTACTATTTACTTCTTCAATCAATGGAGTACCTAATATAACAATGTGTCTATAGAAAATAGAGAACAATAATAACGTTTTGTTTTCCGAGTGAGAAAGCGAGAACCTTTTTACGACGGAATCTAATTCCCTGCCCCCCATGATTGGATGCCCAATTCTCAAATGTCCCCAATCTCTATTTTTTTTTTATTTTTTCTATTTATTTATCTTTATGTCACAAAATTTTATAATCTAAGCCCCACAAAACCGTTGCAATTGTTTGACTGCGGGGTCGAGTCGCTAGAAATTACAATTAAATGTACTTATATGTCTAAACCCCCTATCCTAAAATTTCTAACCCTCAAAAGTCTGGCAACGCACTTATAACTCCACACTGGTGTTTCGGGTGTACATGGGCGGCACAGATTGTCCTGACTGAGAAATCGGTATATGAGATGATAAGTCAATTATGTATGTATTTATGATAGACAGAAAAATATTACAAATCTAATCAAATGACATTCATGCTGCGTTAAATTAAGAGTAAGGAAAGTGGCGAACTTTCCTGGTTCTAAGAAAACAACCAACAATCAATTCAATCAAAGGCGGATTTAACGATTTTCATTATTTCGAGAATCGACGCCTTTGTAAGATATTTGTACTTTTTATTACTGGGTATTTTGCAATAAGTAAAGTATTTCGCAGCCGCTCTAATACAATAAAAAGGTTCTAAGAATTATTTCTTATTGTACACCTTGTTGCTCTTGCTTAAATTTTCTTTCCCTAGAATCCTTTCATTTTGTAAACATGTTTTTCTTGTAATTCATTGGTGTAATGGGTGCAAGTGCTCATGTTGGGTCAAATCTCAAGTTTTTTTATGGCATAACCCGGATCACCTGATCGTAAGCAGTCGGCGCCACATATGGACACCCGAAACACAAGAGTTCGTTACAAGTGCGTTCTGGCCGTTTGGGTTTGGATTTGAGGGATTTGTGGAGATTCAGGGATTGGGGACATTGGTGAGGGGGGTAATTGGACCTCTGGTAACCTCACTCACACTACGAAACACAATGTAAGCGTTGTTTTAGATCAAATAATATGGTATCACTCCGGTCAAGCCGGCCCAATCGTGCCGAAGCATGGCTCTCCTACACTGTTTAGTGACGAAACCGATGGTGAAGGATAACCGTAGTGTTCTATGCGACGTGTTATCTACATAAATAATATATAGTATACTAGATTGTATTTTTGAAGTATAATATCAAACCCCAAAATACAATAGGGAAAATAAAACACTTAGGTTCTATAATTCCACTATACTACAACTCTATACGATTTATATGAAATGTTACAAATGAAAGATCAATTATGTAAATATTAATTGTTGAATTAGTTTACGGATGAAGGACGCCCTCGATATTATGCGAGTGAACAGAATCACTATGTATGGATCGAATCGTAATTGCTAAGCGCGTCACTAGTCCATCTCATTTGTATTCATACTTGTACCTGACGACACACGGTGAGTAAGGAGAAATGGTGTTGCGAACGGATAAAACTTAAATTCTTTATTGTAATATCGATTATTAACTATATTGATAATCGATATTACAAAAAAAGTATTGACGTTTTCGGTTTTAATAAACTCTAATAGGTGTCTAATTGATCAAACTTAAATTTATTTTTTAATTTATAATGCACGGTAAGTAATTCTAAATTCGTTCATGTATTTGGAACGTAATTAACATTTGTCATTTGTAATGCCATTTTTTACAATTCATAAAACGTAATTTAGAAATAACATTCAATAAATAAAATAATTATAATATTAATAATTCATACGTATATTCAGAGGCCATATAGTTTTTTTAGTACCTAGACATAAATATGCTAGTTATTATTACGACACGCTTACTATTCGTAAGTAATTTAAGCACAACATTATAGAAGTAACTAAAACTCAAAGGGCGAGCTTTAAATTGGTACACACAAAGGAAAACTAAGAAGGTCCCGTTTCCAAAGCGGCACGTGTTTCGCAAATGGCAAAGAATGAAGAAAAGTTAACGAAACACATTTCAATACACGTGACACTTAGCGAGATTGAGAACGAATCGTCATTGTTTTATTAAATTTGTTTTTATTGGACCGCAAGAAGAAAATGTTCCATCCTCAGCCCACGTTCTCTCGTTCTGACCTGGTAAACGTAAAAACTTCCTTGGCACTACGCATTTTATTTACCTAACTTTAATACCCGTGGGGGTGAACGTCAAGATATTACACTCACTTTTTGACGAGAGATAAATTCTATGTGTTGTGATGGGCTATTGATACACAAATATGTCCCACGACACGTAAAGCGAAGCTTGCCGATTTTGCCCGTCATATTATAAGGCCACAACGCAACGTATGTCCACAGCAAAGTTGATGTTGCCAGACATGTCGATCAAAGCCCGGCAACGTCGCGCTACTTCACCCGACGTCGCTGGCGACGCGTGTCGTAGGACATTTGCCCCTAGTGTATTTTTTAATGAGATTTTTTTACATATTGATTGTTGAGAATTTGTATATAGATTTATAGTACAGTGTGAACTGTCAATGGATATTGATAAGGATCATCATCCTCATCATCATGTCAGCCACAGGAAGTCCACTGCGGAACATAGCCTTCAATGACTTCCAGATCGGCCGTTTGGAAACAACCTGCATCCCGGGGGTGCTGATGATGACAAAATGATTAAAAATTTCCGACTTTAGAATGTTTTTTTTCAAAACAAACACGAGATTAATACGTCACAGTTCTAAAAGCATGGTTCGAATTTAGTGTACAGAACTAAAACTTACCACGTCTTACAAGAAGATGAAACCTAAATCTTTCCAAATGAAAGATTAAAGAAGCACTTCAGCTTATAAAGAAACTAGGTTGAATACTTTTCTTCAATTTAAGATTACTATCAAACCCACACGTACTTGTTTACTTTAACAAATTTCTTAGCGTAGGACTCTTAATATTAGTATTAGGTATATATTCGTTTTATAAATTTGATATTGTAAGCTTACAGTACATACATTTCGTTTGAGTTGTGTACCTTGATTTTATTATTTTCATAATAACTCAACTTCACTGTGACATTTAACTTGTAATACTAAGTAATTTCATACTTTACCAGTCTCAATCTAGGAAAGTCAGAAAATATTTCATAATATTGTATTGTAATTTCGTTTCATTCATGCCTTTATTTTATATTTTTTTTTATATGAACACGTAATAAGTATTTATTGCGAAAACTAGGTATCAAATATTTCTTTACTGATAGAGTGAAAATAATTAAACACTATTACTGTGTAGACTATACCTACATAACAGCATATTCGGTAAGTGGACTAAGTGACGGCGCCGCCACGTATTATACTCATCACTTAAAAATATGACACGTTTCTGTCCAAAGATAGTGAACAGTGTTATTATTCAAACATGTATCTGGATTTGGACTGCCGCGTTGGTCGAGTGGTCGTAAGTGCGACTGCCGGGCAAGGGGTCTCGGGTTCGATTCCCGGGTCGGGCAAAGTATTACTGGGTTTTTAAATAT